TTCTGGCACACCCCTCACACGCTTCGTGGCCCCATAGGGAGCTCCACCGAAGGCCCCAGTGGCTGCGTTCGCATGGCAGCACCGTACCCATGTCGGCACACCCCTCACACGCTTCGTGGCCCCATAGGGAGCTCCACCGAGGGCTCCAGTGGATGCGTTCGCATGGCGGCACCGCGCCCATTTCGGGACACCCCTCACACGCTTCTTGGCCCCATAGGGAGCTCCACCGAGGGCCCCAGTGGCTGCGTCCGCATGGTGGCACCGCGCCCATGCCGGCACACCCCTCACACGTTTCGTGGCCCCATGGGAGATCCACCGAAGGCCCCAGTGGCTGCGTTCGCATGGCGGCACCGCACCAATTTCGGCAAACCCCTCACACGTTTCGTGGCCCCATTGGGAGCTCAACCGAGGGCCCCAGTGGCTGCGTTCGCATGGCGGCACCGCACCAATTTCGGCACACCCCTCACACGTTTCGTGGCCCCTTAGGGAGTTCCCTCTCATTCGTTCAACCTGCTTTGCGGTACTCGTAACTGCAGATGGTTGGGTCCATCGCCAGGATAATGTGTTTTCCATCCAGCGCTATCTTGGAAGGGCCCACAAACACACAAATAAATACACACAAATCCCAGGATCCCCCATATTTTGACATATTTTCTTGGTTTCTGTCTTCCCCCCCACCACCACTTCCCATACTTTCGCATATTTCCCTGGGAATCGACGATTAAGTGTGTCTGTGTGTTTTTGTCCCTCCAGCGCTTTTTTGGAAGGGGGGAAGGGGGAGCAGACGCAGCAACACGGAGGCGAGCTCGGTGGCGCAGTCGTGAAGCGACAGAGCTGCCTCGAGCGCCTGGCACACGAGCGGCACCTGGAGCCCCTCCCGAGCCCCAAAGTGTTCCCCACTCGATGCTTGCCTGCGCCGTGGCACAGCGGAGGCGAGCCGCTCGCGCGTCCGAGCAGCCCGGGGCCACGGCGTGGCAAAGTGCGGTCCCCACTCGAGCGTGTGGACCGTGCTCATGCTTCCCCTCTTTTCCCCCCTCTCTCTCTGATCCTCTCTCTCTCTCTTTCCAGCTTTCCCCCTCTCTCCCCCTCTCTCCCCCCTCTCCCACTCTCTCTCTCTCTCTCTCTCTCTCTCTCTTGCACCACGATTCCCCGGCGGGCTCCGCTGCAATCAGCTGCCTTGCACCGTGAGCGAGCGACGGCGGGCAGGACGGGGAGGGGGGGGGCGGGCAGCGCACGCGTGCGAGGCGCACGTCCGAGCAGCCGGGCGGGCGGGCCGTGGCTGGCCGCGCCGCCGGCTGGCCACTCGCCGGCCCCGATACGCAACACGCAACACGGAGCGTATTGATACGGACGTGTTGAGCACGGGCGTTTTGAACACGGACGTTTTGAACACGGCACGTGCTACGTTTCAAGACGTGCGTATCAGAGCAGCTGAGCTCCGGAGTGGTCGCGGGAGGGGGGAGGAGCAGCAGAGGATCGAGTGGGCGAGCGAGGGCCTGAGCGAAGCGCTCCCCAGAGCGGACCTCCGAAGGCCTTCCAGACGAGGAGGAGACGCGGGCGCCTCCGAGAGGTGTGGCGCGCCAGGGGTGCGGCTGGCAGTCCGCGCCCCGAGGGGCGGGCGAGGACCTCGACACAGCTCGCCGCCTCGCCCCGACGAGGGCTCGTCGAGCCTCTGGCGAAACGTGGTGCCCCCGAAGGCCTGTCGGTGATCCTCAGAACGTGTGTCAGCGCCAACGTGCCTGTCCACCGAAGCCCCCTCAACACGACGCCTTTCGGCACGGCGAGGGGACGTCCTGAGGAGCATCGACCCCTCACGGCGCAGATCGCAAACCCCACCCTGGCGCAACCACACCCGCTGTTAGACGAGCGCGTTGCACGACTCGCAAAGTAACTACTCGCAAATGGCCTGGATCCGCCGCGGGGGATCTACGATGAATGACATCAAAGCAGGCATCTGTTTTTCGGAAGTTTGCGAGTAGGCACTTTGCGAGTAGTGGAACGCGCTCGGTGAGCTGTGGTCGCCGAGGGCAGCGGGCACCGCCCCCCACCCACTGGGGCTGCCGCTGCCAGCCCGCCCCGCGCCGAGAGAGGCACCCCCCCCAGGGGGGGGAAGAGTCGCAGGCGGAGGCCGGCAGAGAGAGCCGCGGCGGGCCTGCGACCATGGACGCGGCGAAGACGAAGAACTCGCGGCGGGGGGGCGGGGGGCGGGCGGCAGGGCGACTCGCCCGCGCACCCGCCCTTCTCCATGCCACCCCCCTGCCCACCCGCCCCTCGGCCACACGCGAGAGTGACCCCCTGGGTAAGAGTGTGACCTCTGGTGCGCGGCTTGTTGGGGGCCGCGGGGGGACCAAGCACCAGCGCGCACAATACGCTGCTATCGCATCGCGGTCGGCGATCCGGGACCCCAGTGTGCCCGCACCAAAAGGCCACTCTGGCGAAGAGTCACCTCGTGCGTCTCATCGACGCCCCCCTCCCCTCCCCTCCCCCCGCTCGCAGGGCCCGAGGCACCCACTGCCTCGGCAGACCGGATACTGCTCGCCTGGGGGGGGAAGGGGGCCGGGCAGCCTGTCGACAGAACCTGCCACGGCTCAGGCTCGAAGGGACGGCTCCGAATGGACGAGCCAGCGAGCGAGCGAGCGACCACCAGTGCGGACAGCCGTCCAGGCCTAGCCGAGACCAGGGCCGCACGAAGCACATGTGAAAGCTTTGAGAGCTAAGGGGGAGAGTAGGGGAGGGGGAGTCCTGTCCTCGGTGTGGGAGTCGACGAACCGGTGGTCGAGCAAGAAGCGAAATACACTTCCCATCCCCTTCCCTCCCAGTCCCTTCCCTAGCCCCTCCTTCCTCCCGACCGTCCCTCGTGCCCTGGGGTTGGCTTATCCCCAGTATCACGCCAGCCCTCGAAGGAAGAAGGCACCTGCAGACTCCCCTTTCGTACGCCAGCCAACCCTCCCTGCTGGCAGTGAGGTCCTTCCACAATGATGTCAGGGTAAGGGCCCCAACAACTCGGTTGCATTTCGATGACTCGGCTGTGCAATTGCATGTGTTCTCGCCCGTTTGAATCCGACCGAACCGGGGCAGCTCGGCAGCCACCGTCATCGTGTTATAAGGATACCGATACCGAAAAAAACTCGGCTGATACCAATACCAACTAACTATTCGGGGGAGGTTTCGAGCGACATTTGCCTGCTCGCTTCTCCGCTGGGAGAGTTCGGACTGAGCTGCCCAGGGAAGTACCCGAACCGTTTGAAGCGCGTGTCGGGGGCGACGATAAGGGCGAATAGCCCAGAGGGTAACAATACATGCACCCAATGGCGCCGACGGTTCGTGTCCTCGGCGAGGCACCCCAGCGAATACGTGAAATGCCCGCCCCTGGGCTGTTCGCCCCCCTCGTCCCCTCGTCGCCTCCGAGCCTGCCATCGGCAAGGGGCACGGAGCCTCCTCGAGGAAGCCCGCGACAGCTGCGAGCCCTGCAGCACCCAGGGAGGACGGAGCCCGGCTGGACCTCCGCTCTGGCGGCGCCGTGGCGTCGACGAGAGTCCCGCGGAGCCCGCGTGCGTCGGCACCTCCGCGGGACCCCCCCGATGGGCGCAAGAAGGGCGGCGACGGCCGTGCGCCCAGCGGCACCCAGACAGGGCCGAGGCTCCGGGGGAGCTGCGCGCTGGCGGCACCCCTCCCGGACCCCTCGGGGGGGCGCAGGAGGGCGGCAAGCGCTGCACGCACGGCAGCACCCATGGGGGGAGGGCGAGATCCAGTCTGGGCCAGGGCGGGCGGCGCGAAGAGGAGGCATGCAAAGGAAAGGGGAATCGAGAAACTATCAGAAATAGGCGGGAGAAGGCGGAGGAGGAGAAGGTGAGCAGGAAGTGCTCCATTCAAACCGGGGATCGATTCGCATAGAAAACAGTCACATGGGCTTGCCCGACCAAAGCCAAGGCTTCCTTTATACTTCTGTCAAACCACAAAAATGGAATATTGCGGCCATGGCCCACCGATTGTATGAAATCAGGTGGCATAGCTAACCTGAGTTATCCGACGAGACCACCGATTATGTGAAATATCCCAAACACACCCATCCAATACGTGTGGTAACTGCAAAGGACGCAGAGTGCCATCGTTAAGTCATACTCCTATAACAAGTTGATGCGCTGAACGCCTCAAGGGGTCAGAGACTGGGGGCATCCCAACGTCTGTCAGCAACGCGCTGAGCACTTTGGAGACTTAGAGCACAAATAGGACGATGAGCGGCAGAATGAGGAAGAAAAAGAAAAAGAAGCAGAACCAGAGGGGGATGACGAAGAAGAAGAGGAGGAAGCCGAGAAGGCGGATGAGGACGAGCGGCACCGGACGGGAAGGCACCCCGAGGGACCGATCAGGGGCCGCAGGAAAGCTGCGACGGCAACGCACCTGGCAGCACCTTCAGCGGGCGAAGTCCGCTTTGGGCCCAGGTGCCGCCGCACTCCGCCGGGCCAACAAGGCGACGCAGGCAGGCGACGACGCCAGCGCGCCTGGGGGTCAGGGGCCGCACTCTGCTTCCGCGCACGGGCACAGGAGAGCGACGACGGCGGTGCACCTGGCAGCACCCAGGGGGTGTGTGGGGGGGGAGGAGGAGGAGGAGGAGGAGGAGGAGGAGGAGGAGGAGGAGGAGGAGGAGGAGGAGGAGAGGAGGAAGGAGAAGGAGGAGGAGAGGAGGAGGAGGAGGAGGAGGAGGAGGAGGAGGAGGAGGAGGAGGAGGAGGAGGAGAGGGGGGACGCGGCGGCCTGGCATAGGCCTGCATGGGAGCGCACGCCGCTGGGCCACGCCAGGGCACAGGCAAACGAAGGCGGCCGCGCGCCGGGCAGAACACCAGGGCACAGGGGGGGTCCACCGTGGGCGCGCGTGCCGCCGCGCAACGGCTGGACCCCCCCACCACCCTGGCGGGCGCATCCTCCTCCTCCTCCTCCTCCCCTCCTCCTCCTCCTCCTCCTCCTCTCCTCCTCCTCCTCCTCCTCCTCCTCCTCCTCCTCCTCCTCCTCCTCCTCACTATCCTTCTCCCTGGTGGGGCGGCCACCGACAGGGTGGCGAAGGCGGCGAAGGTGACCGCGCTGGGCGCGTCGCCGGCGTCCGGGGGGGCGACCGCGGCGGCCTGTCGCGCGGGGGCTGTCAACGCGCCAGGCCGCCGGAGGAGATGACGAGCTGTGCGCGCGCGCGTGCGCGCAAGGCCCAAGTATAACTGGGGGAGCTGTGGTCCGTACCCCCCTGGGGGAACCCATCGTATCGACGATCTCTCGAGAGGGGTGTCGAAATCTATGGGTCCCCCAGGGGGGTAAGGACCACAGCTCCCCCAGATGTGGCTGGCCTGCGTTCGTGCTGCACGTGCTGCGCGTGCGCGCGTGCATGTGCGGCAGGTTCGTGTCGTGACGACGCCGGCGGTGGCATCTGGCAACCGCGCGGGGCATGCGACCTTGAACGGTCGGCGCTGTGTCTGTCGATCGCCAGAACGTTCCATGTTGGCCAACTCTGGGCCAACGGCGGCGTTCAACCTTGAACGCCCGCGCTGGGGTCGTCGCCACGTCGACACCACACGAACCTACGACACGCGTGTCTATCATTGCCTATCTGTGCGCGCGCGGGTGTCTATGTGCTGCTCGCCTGCGCCGAGACGGACGGCTCGGGGCCTGAGAAATGGATCGTCTAAAACAAAACAGCCTGGCAATGGACCCAGCACGACGCAGATGGGTGAAGCGAAGGGCGTGGCCCTCGCTTCATCTTCATGTGCTACGCGCAGCAGAACGGTCGGAATAGGGGGCTGCGGGACACAGGCGCAGAGGCATACTGCACTCCCCGTGGGGCGCGAAACGAGTGAGGGGTGTGCCGACCTGGGCGGGGGGACGCCATGCGGACATCGCCACTGAAGTCGTCGGAGGAGCTCATGATGAGGCCACGGAACGTGTGAGGGGACACCAGGTGGCCTTGCCCGCTGGGCCCATCGTGCAGCACCACATGGGACCACGAGACGTGTGAGGGGAGTGCCGACTTGGGCGGGGGGACGCCATGTGGCCTTGTCCGGTGGGGCCTTCGGTTGAGCCCCCTATACGGGGTGTGAGGATTGTGCCGACATGGGCGGGGGTACGCCATGTGGCGTTGTCCGCTGGGGCTTTCGGTTGAGCCCTCTACGGGTTGTGAGGGGTGTGAAGAAAGAGGCGGGAGGCGCCATGTGGCCTTATCCGCTGGGGCCTTCGGTGCAGCCACCTGTGGGGCCACGAAGCGTTTGAAGGGTGTGCCGAAATCGGCGAGATGACGCAATGTGGCAGTGCCCGCTGTGGCCTTCGGTGAAACTCCCTATTGGGCCAAGCGTGTGAAGGGTGTACGGGGAACACCATGCGGCCTTCACCGCTGGGGCCTCTGGGGAAATTCTCGATGGGGCCACCAAACGTGCGAGGGGTCTGCTGCTGAGAGCAGATGAGGAGGAGGAAAGGGAGGAGGAGGAGCAGGAGGAGGAGGACGCGGGAGGAAGGGTGGAGCGCGGCGCTGCTGATGCAAAACGAGGACCCGCAGAGCGTCTAGAATATAGGAGTCTGCGCTGATGACCCGCAGACAAACGTTGGTTGCGAATACCACCCTCAAAGTACAAGCCACCGAGCTCACAACATTGCAAAGAATGCTACATGTAGTGATATGGTACGTACGGGACAGGAACAAGCCAGGCTCTAGGTGGCAGCGCGCCCCGCGAAGAGCGCAAGTGATTGAGGCTGGGACCAGCTCCAGGCCTCCAGGCCCTTTGCACCCAAATGCAAGCTCCCCCCAGAAGCACGCAGATCGTAAGTCCCACGGCAGCAGGTCGTAAGCCACGACACGACCAAGACTTGATTCGCTTGGGAGCCTGCGGCTTCGCAAGACAAGAGCTCCTTCGACAACGTTGAAAGCAACTCCCAGGTCCCAAAGCTCCTGTAGACCCTACTTAGGATTGGCGCCACTACATTGCCCCGCAGTGCTCAGAGAGGCAAACACAGCAGTAAGTGGAGGAGAGCTCTACATAAGCAACATCATACAGACGAAGTCGCAACTGCTGAAGAGAAGAAACGATCGTCTGTCTCGTGTAACTGTCTATGCCATCATGGCCCGTCCATCTCCCCCATGAATCATCCCATCGAACCCTTATCAACAGCCGACATGGTCACATCGAAATCGCTGGCCTCGGTGGCGGTCGTGGAGGCGGAGGCTCCTGTAAAAAAGAGCGCACGGGCAAAACAATGAAGACGAGGTCCCCAAAGGTAGCATCAACAGATATTTCGAGCAGTTATACGATTTGCTGACGGTCTCCGAAACACCCGCGGGTTCTGGGTACACTAATGCCCAAGAGTGTTCTGAATCCGACAGAAAAAGGAAATCGAACATGGGCCCCCGAGCGAGCAAGCATGAAAAAACATATGAGACAGCGTCGGAGAAAAAAAGGAAATATCCTGCGGAAGTCGTGGTGGTAGTCAGAACCTCTGTCTCTGGCTTCGAAACAAGAAGCGATGCCTCCACCAGTTCCAGACCATCCGATGCGAAGGCTGCTTTCAGCATGCCTGCAACTGTAGCTGGGTCGATGCTCATAGTCTGCGTGATCTGAAGATGCTGCTCGGTGTCATGACTGTCAGCAACTATCTCGAAAACGGCGTGCCACAACTTTCTGCCGATGGAAATTTGCCGCGATAATGATCCAGAGGCCTCTGATACGCTTACGCTCAACTGCTCCTCATCCAGACTATATACTACCAACAACTGGGACGTAAGTATAGAGACTATGCTTTCCCGTGTCCCTGTGCTCTCAAACACAAGAGAACTGCTTAAGACGTACATTGCATCAATGTTGTTCGTACGGATGGACGTCGTGGTAGTATCTGTGGTCATGCTGGCCGTCGCGGGAAACTGCTCGACAGCTCGGGAAACCTGGGCCACCGCATGGCAGTCATTCATCTGCGCTCCCATTCCGTATTGCATCTGGCTAACAGCTGGCAGTGATAAATACAAACCAGCAAAAAGCTTAACAGCTGGTCAGAACATTACCACGTCACGTACGCGCGAGCGAACACACAACACGTAAACCTTGTATGACACATAATGGAACCTGTTGCCACCCCGCAGGAGTCTCACACTTGAAAACAATGGACGCTAGGCTTGCAAGCAGGCGCGAATAGCCTAATGGCCGCTCCTCTTGTGCAGGACGTACCAGCTCACATCGGCAAACATGTTGAGCCAGCTTGGCGCCGCGGAGGGACGCCACGCTGGGGACGATGAGGCAGCACTGGGGCCACCTCACTGTCAGGCAAGCGCCGCTCAAGAGCGGGCGGGTACGCACCCGCCACGCTTGACTTGATTGCAGCATACAAGTCCACTAATTAGGCTTGCAGACAGGCGCAACGATCCTGACGGGCTCACATTTTCGAGGCACACCAGGCGGCAGGAGGAGACCGGGTGCCCCGCTATCGGGGACCCAGCCCAGCTCCTGGGAACGGTCCTTCGCATCGGCACGTCCTCCCGCATGGGCAGGGGGATGCGCTACCCCGAAGGAGGCCCCCGCCTCGCTGGGAGACGCTGGGGACACTTCAGCCCGGCAGCATGGAGGGAAGCGCGGTGAACAGGACCCAGAAGCCGACCGCGGCGCTGGCAGAGAGGCCTGCAGCGCCTGGGGGCCGCTGCGGCTGGTTGGCAGGAAGGCTCGGCCAGGCGCAGCGGGGGGGCTCCAGCTAAGGCGGCGGTAACCACGGCGCCTGCCGGCAGAGCCGGGCGCTAAGGCGGCGCATGGGGGACCCCCGGCAGCGGACCGGCCTGGCCAGCGCCGCACGGCGGCAGCGCCTCGGGCGGGGCAGCCACATGACAGCCAACAAGCACGAACTACCGCGGCCGACAACAGTGGTGGCGCTGAAGGTCCCCGCAGACGTGTCCAGCTCCACCACGGCCAGCGAGCCGAGGGCGCAAGGCACCACGAAGCTGAAGGTGAGACGCGCCACCAGCGGACGCTGAACTGAGAGGGGGCTGGGGCCAGGGTTGGGGAGGGGACACACCACGAGGCAGGGAACGAGGACCGCTGGAGGATGCCCACGGCACGACGCACACTCGTCCTGGCGTAAAGAGGCGGTCCGGCGATCCCAGCAGCCGCACTACAGCGCCCAGGCAAGAAGACCCCGGGCGGCCCAGCGCCGAAAGGGGGAGGAGGCCTGCCGCACCGAGCTGCCGGCAGCGCAGTGGAGGAGGGGGCAGCTGCAGCTGGTCGCGCCACCGCCAGCGCGCGTCCGCAGTGCGCGGCGATGCCGAGGGTAGCCCGGAAAGGCGGGGACGACCCAGACGCCTAGAGTCGTGCGCGGGGCCTGCAACGGCACGGCTGGGGGGGGGGGGGCGCGGGTCGGAGCAATCCTGCGGCTGGGCCAGGGCGGGCGTCCCAGTGGGACGGTCCGCAGTGCCTAGAGCTGACAGGTCTCTGGTCGCTCACGCAGCAAAGGGCGGAGCCGAGGCGCAGCGGCGCGGCTCTTGCGGAGGCGGCCAGAGGGGGCTCGGTGCGCGCGAAGCTGCTCTGCTGGGCGGCGGGCTGTCGTCCACAGCGTCCGAACCGACGTGTGCGAGCAGCTTCCGGCAGGCCTGGGCCAAGGCTGGGCCGACGACAGACGTCTGGCCATGCGAGGCGCGCGCAGAGATCATGAGCAGCGGGGGTACGACCACCGAGGGGCCGCCAAACACGTGTGGACCCCCTGCGACCGCGCCTGCCGCACGGCGGGCGCCCCGCTGCAACCGCCGAGATCGCCGAAAAGGCGGACTGCGAGACTTCGACGCACAGGGCCTGGCGGTCGGGACGTCCGAGGTCGAACAGCACGGCTGCGCACTGGGGGCGCCGAAGCTCAGCGCCACGCCTGACAGGTCGACCCCGAGGGGGCGGGCCGCTCCTCCAGGGGGCCACTGCAGCGGGGGGAGACCTGCTGCAGAGCGAGCCTGATAGGGCGCCTGCGGGCACAAGCGAGTGCGCGCCCTGGCAGAGGGGCGGGGCACAGGGACGCGGGCCCGGCTGCAGTCGACTCTGGGCGGCTGAACTTCGGGGCACCAGAAGGGGGGCCCAGGCGTGGGAGGAGAAGTGCGGCGAGAAGTGACCGAAGCTGGAGGCAGCGCGGAGCCTGTGCCCGCCGTCACCGAGGGTCCCAGGCCGACTGCGACCTTCAGAGCCTACTTGCCGCGTGGTGGCCTGGGCCCAGGGCTGGGGTCTGGAGGCCAGCGTCGCCAGCGGCTGCAATGGGAACATCAGGACCCTGCCCCTCCGCGCGCGCCGTGACCCTCGCCTCGACCTTCTGGGGCCTGGGCCAGGTCGCCGCGGGGGGCGACCGCGCCAAGGCCTACGCCGCCGTCCACGAGCCTGGAGGAGGCTCGGCGGCAGGCGGGCGGAAGGACGCCCGCACCAAGCGGCGCAGGTCATGCATGCTGTGATTGCCGAGGGCGGAACTCGCTGGGCGGAGACCCGCAGATCCTGAGACCAGAGCCGACGCCCCTGCGCCCTCTGCGCCCGCGACTCGTCCAAGCGATTGGTGCGCCCCCAAATGGAGGGCCGAGTTCGCGTTTCGGGCCGCCGCGGGGCACGGGGCCGCTCAGAGGTCGGGGCCGCTGCGCCGTAGTTCTTGAGCCTGTGGGAGTCGCGTCGCGAAGGGCCGAAGTCGCAGAAGACGGCGCGGGAGCGCCGCCAGGGAGGCGCCTGCATCGCCCAGTGCCAGCGCGTCGGGGTGCTGCGGCGCGCAGGGAGCCGGCCCGGCACCTCCGGCGACCAGTTGCCCGAGCGGTCGGCCAACAGCAACTTCGCTGCGCCGCCGCTGCGGTGTCCAGCGGCGCTGCCACGGCCCTCGCCCGTGGTTGCACACTGCGGCTCGCGGCACGCAAGGCAGTCGAGGCAGCGATCTGGAGCGGCGGCACGCGGGAAGGCCTGATGCATCATGAGCCCCGCTGTCCTCGGCCGCCAGGCTTGGCGGCTCCTTGCCCACGAAAGCAGAAATTGGGAAGCACGAACACAGACACACACACACACACACACACGACCCGCTTGATGAGCCAGCGCCCACGCCACATTTACATGCATATGCAGACCGATATGAACCCCCTTCGGGTGTTGAGGAGGTTGGGGGGGATGGGTGCAGCTTTCGGTTTCCGATTGGCCTCGGATCGGGTTTGAGATCTGTGCAGACGTATACATATAGCTATATGATATATACATATGCAACCTATCTAACAATACCAATGTCAAAATAGAACGATCGCAGAAGTGGGTCCACCACTGCCAATCCATCGATCACATTTCCAAACTGTAAGTCTGCCTCTATACCTGATGCCATCACGATGAATAGTGTGTGTATATGTGCGCATCGCTTCTCTATATATGTATATGCGTACAACACTACCGGCTGTGCGAGATTACTCGTTCTCAGTCTCATTCTCTAGAAATCAAGCTCAGTGTTAGTCCATGGTTCGGTCCCGATGCATCGCGGTGTGACTCTCGATTCGTATCACTACCAATATATCTTCCGATGTCACTGTTGATGTACTCCCCGAATAATGCTTGCATTTAGGGGTTCTTCCTTCTCCTCAGAGGAACTGGGAATGCTGGCGGTCTGGCTGCTCCGTGCTCACCGTCGCCGCCCCGTCGCCACCTCGTCGCCGCCCGTCGTATGGACCTGGCTGGCGGTCTGGCGGCTCCGCGCTCGCCGTCACCGCCTCGTCGCCGCCTCGTCGCCGCCCGTCGTCTGGGCCTGGCTGGCGGTCTGGCGGTTTCGTGCTCGCCGTCGCCGCCCCGTCACCGCCCCGCCGCCGCCCGTCGTCTGAGCCTGGCTGGCGGTTTGGCGGATCCGTGGTCGCCGTCGCCGCCTCGTCACCGACACGTCGCCTCGCAGATTGCACCGCATAGGTTGCACCACATGCATTGCGCCACATAGAGTGCTCCACGTCGGGTGCACCACGTCGATTGCACCACATAGATTGCAAAACATAGATTGCACCACACAGATTACACCACGACGATCGTCGCCACATAGATTGCGCACCACATGGCTTGCACCAAATGTATTGCACCACCTGCATTGCACAACATAGAACGAACAACAGAGATTCTCCTTTCTAACAAGAAAATAAATAGACTCTACCCCCCCCGGCGTTATTCGCCCCCCTTTCGGGTATGTAAATCATGTATGATTATGACCACATGTTCATCCTAAATCTGAATTTACACTGTCCCAGGGGGGCCGGTGTCGGCCCCCCTGAGCCTCCCTTGAAAAAAACAATACGCGGGGGCATTGCTTGTTCTAACATAAGACTTGTTTCGCAAACCCCTTGCAAAAATGGGACGAAGTGCACACGCGCGCGTCGTCGCGCGCGCATGCCGAAATCCTTCAAAAACCTTCGGTGTCGGAAGGATTTCGCCATCGAGTTCCCAAAAAACACATACAAAAACACAGGGTTTCGCAACAATGATTTGCTAAAAAAGCTTACGCGCGAGCTCTTGCGAAATCTTCAGAAACCCATCAGATTTTTTAAAAGATTTTCACAAAATGCTACCAAGCGGGCTTCGCGCGCGCGCATGTCGAAATCTGTCGAACGCCCTTGCGCGTGTGTCGTCGCGAGAATCCTCTGCAAAAAAAGGACGAAGTCAAAATCGTGTCCGAATAACCTACAAAAACACAAGGTTTCGCAACACTGATTTTCGGCCCATACCGCTACTGCGCCTGAGTTCTAGGCCAGAGGATCCTTGGACACCTGTCATTCAAGTCTCTTGGCGTGCTTCTCGGGCGCCTCGTGGAGCGTGTGTTGAAGCTTCTTGTGGCCTCATGGGGGCGGACCCTGGATCGTATGTGTGGGGCGTCTGGGGGCCCTCACAGGGCCCTGGCGTCCCTCTTTCCGATGCGGGCCTGGCGCAGAGACTTTGAAATAGCTGGGGGTTCTGAAGAACCTGCCTTCTCCTCCTTCCTCATCTTCCTCCCCCTCATCACCACTAACATTCCGTGGGTGGCGCGATTCCCACACATGATGCGCACTGGAAATACAAAGGTACCAAGCACGCGGATCGAGACGAGACCTACGGCCCCAGAGGAAGGCAGAGTTCATAAAGCGTCTCCCCACCAACTTCGGCACGGCCCTCACGGATCCTGCCCCCCCCGTAAGCTCCACTCTTTGGTCCAGGAACAAAGTTTCAATGGCGTCCCTTCCCCCGTGTCCCCATATCGGCACACCCTTCGCACGGATCGGGCCCCAGAGGGATGTAGTTTCACGTGCGGCCCTGGCGGGAGGAGTCGCATAAAGTCACGTCCCCCTGTGTACGTCGACTGTCTCCTCACACGGATCGTACCCCACTGGGAGCTCCACCGACATCCCCAGAGCCAAGGTTCGCATCTCGCCGCCCCGTCCATGTCGGCACACCCTGTACCTGGATCCTGAGATCGGGGCGTCTTGGGTGCCTCTCGGGGCCTCACGTCACGTTCCTCAGGAGCATTTTGAAGCTCTGAGATGGACCGTGAGTTTGGGGCCTCTGGAAGCCTACATGGGCACGCCGTGCGGGATGCAGACGCGGCACGTCTCGTACGCTTCCGGGTGCCTATCGGGAGGCCTCCCCGGAGCCTCCTGGAAGTATTCGGGGAGCCTCTTGGGGCCTCTCTGGGGTCTCTTGGGGAATCCCGGGGACACTGTCGGGGCCTCTCGGGGAGCCTCGGGGGGCCTCCTGGAAGCGTCCTGGAGGCTTCCTGGAAGGTGTCATAGGGGCATGCTGGGAGCCGCAACCCTGAGATGGTGCCCCACGACCCGTTTTGGCACCCTCTTGAGGCTATCTTAGGGCTCCCTTTGGACCGTCCTGGGGCCCTCTTCAGCGGCGTTTTGGGCCTCCCAAGCGGCCTTGGAACCTCCTTGGGTGCCTCTTGGACCGTCTCAGAGGCTGTCAAAAACTCGCATTGCGAATTTGCTCAATAAACATTTCTTATATGTAATATATAATATATAATATGTGTATATATATATATCATAAAAATACACACATACCTACATACATACATATATACATACATACATACATACATACATACATACATACATACATACATACATACATACATACATACATACATGCATGCATGCATGCATGCATGCATGCATGCATGCATACATACATACATACATACATACATACATACAAATGTATATATACATACATGCGTGCATGCATGCATGCATGCATGCGTGCATACATACATACATACGTACAGATGACATGACATGCATGACATAATATCACATAATAACATAGCATACCATAGCATAACACATCATAACACAGCATAACATAATATACCATACCATATCATTTCATACCATATCATAACACAACACCGTATATCATAATACAGCATAACATGGCATAACACAATATGTCATGTCATAATAGAACATAACATAACACAAGAAACCATAACATAGCATAGCATACATGCGTGTATGCATGCATGCATACATACATACATATACGATGCGTCTCCCAAAGGGAATGGAATGATCTCTGCCTCCTGGGGCCTCTGGGGTGAGGGGCTTACTGGAGGCCTCTTCAGGGCCTCTTGGGGACCTCTTGCCGCGTCTTGGAAGAGTCTCGGGGAATCTCCAGTGCCGCAGAGCGCCCCAAACGCAACGTTGGACGGTCTTGGCCCAAGAAGCCTCTGCAGGGGCTCTTGAGGGCCTCTACGCGCCTCTTTGGGTCGCTCGGGAGCTTTTGAAGGCTTCTTGGGAGCGCCCTTGGGGGTTCCCAAAGGGTCTTGGGGGCATGTTGGGAACCACACCCCTCAAGATAGGTGCCCCACGACCGCTCTTGGTGCCATAGTGGGCCTTCCGTAGGGCCCTCTTGGGGCTCCTTTTGGCCGTTTCGGGCGCCACTGGGACCGTCTTGGGGACCTCTGGGCCCGTCTTGGGGCCCTGCGGGGTCGTCTTGAAGCCTCCTTCGGCCTCTTCGAACGCTGTGACATTCGAAGGGAGCGAACATATCAAAAATGCATGCCTTCCAAAAGGAGTGACGCGATTTGGGCCTCGTGAAGCCATCTTGGGAGACCTGTTGGAGCCCGCTTGGAGCATCTTGGGGGCCTCATAGCCCTTGTTGACGCCATCTTGGTGCGTCTTGTAGCGCTATCGTCGGGGCAAGTTGGGCGGTCTCGAGCCGGTCCTGCAGGCCTCTGGAGCCGTCTGGGAGCCCTCGGGGCCCCGCCCGGGAGCCCTCGGAGCCCCCACCGCCTGGAGACCCCATGCCAACCCGGTGTCCCAGTCCTCCCCCACGGCCTACTCCGATGTGTCGTGTGTGTGTGTGCATACATATATATACACATATGTGTGTAATGTGTACAGATATAGCTAGACCTAGATTGTTGCACACAGCTCGCACAACATGTACTGCAAAACACTGGTTGCACAACGTACATTGCATACAACATAGGTTGAACCACGTAGATTGCACCAAGCATATTGCTCCACATAGATTGCGCAGCATGGATTGCTAGAAACAGACTGTTTGGGGTCCACGCCACGCTGGCTAACATCGATCTCGCAAATGGCATGTGTCACAACCACGGGACAACCACGGGATCACAGGACAACCACAAGGCAACCACGGTACAACCACTGGGCAATCAGGGGACAGCCATGGGACAAACCACAGGACAACCGCGGGACAACCTTGGGCTCACCGCCCGTCGCCTGAGAGCAACAAGTGATGGCACCCTGCCGTAACAAGGATTAAACCTTTCTCGCCCTCGCGCAGTTTCGCATCGACCGCACGTCACGCACGACACGAACCGAAACCGAAACCTACTCCTCGTTGAGGGGCACCGTTTCACTTCGCTCTCACATCCCGACCTCCAGCATGTCTCGCGCCCTCCTAGTTGTCCTCTGCTCAACATAGGCCCCTAATACACCTCCAGGCACTGATGTCTGAGCCACGTCAAGAAAAGCCGACGAGGGGCTGTCCCGACGACCAGGAAAACAGAAAAGGTAGGCCCTGTGCGTGGCGAAAGTCCCACAGCTGTGACGTCAAACCTGCCTTTTAAACATCTCCTGAACGGTGGAGCCATCCCAGAGCGCGCGGCGCCCCCATTACCACCGGAACGAGGGACGAGAGGCCAAGGCTGGGAGCGAACTGGGCGCCCATTGTACACCGGGGACCACAGAGCCTCGCCTCTGGGCACCCAGTCGGGCACCGCTGGTGCCCCGAAGAGCACTGGGCATCGCAGGGTCCAGGATGCACGGCACGGGCGCGGCATCCTTTCCGCGAGCAACCGCCCCTCGCGGACGTGGGCATGCAGAAGCGTCGCCACCATCGCAAACACTGAACACCTACAAGCGTCCTTCATCATCCTCCCTCCTCCTGTTCACACTCATGCCCCTCAGCTTGTTTACCATTCTGGCGCTCCTGTTCTTCACTGCTCCTCGGCTCACACCTCACCCTCCTCGCCCTCCTCGCCCCTCTCATCCTCATTCTGCTCCTCCTCATTCTCATCCTCATCCTCCACCTCCTCATCATAATCACCATTACCTTCATCATCATCACCACCACCAACATCATCGTTGTCACCGTCACCCTCCGCCTCATCGTCATCATCACCATCAACACCATCATCATCATCATGATCAACATCATCATCATCGTCATCGTCATCGTCATCGTCATCGTCATCGTCATCGTCGTCATCATCACCATCATCATCATCATCCTCATCATTATCCCCTCACCACATGTGACGCCATCAATTCTGATTAATTCGATCGCTTTTCCCCCCTGCCACTACCGTTGTAGTTCTGGAGGTGCTCGTCGTACCTGTGAAGGTTTTGCTGGAACTAGTCGGTGTATCACTCAAAGTTGTTGCAGTACTGCTTGCTCTGGAGGTCGTCGCGGTGAGAGTGCTTGTAACTGAAACTGACGTCGCAGTTGTTGTGACGGTGCTGGTGCTTGTGATCGAGGCAGTCGTAGCAGTCAAACTGCTGGCCGAAGTGGTCAATGTAGCGCTCGAAGCCGTCGTGGTAATTGTTGAGGTAGCGGAACCCGAAGTGTTCGTTGCGGTGTTTGTCCTGGTGGTGTGTGTAGTGGAAACTATCGTCGCGGTGCTAGTGCTGGAGGCTGAGACGGACGTGCTGGTTTTTGTCACCGAGCTTGAGATCGTTGAAGAGAAAGTCGTTGCAGTCACGCTGCTGGCCGAAGTGGTCGATGTACCACTCGAGGTCGTCGCTGTGCTACTGCTCGTGGCTGATACGGACGTGGTCGTAGTCAGCGTGCTGGTTGTCGCTGACATACTACTTGTGGCAGAGGCCGATGTACCGCTGCTGCTGGTCCGGGTGCCAGTACTTGTTCCTGACGTTGACGTCGCAGTCGTCGTCACGGTACTGGTGGCTGTGGTGGAGACTGTGGTAACAGTCAAACTGCTGGCCGAAGTAGTCGATGTACCACTCGAGGTCGTCGCGGTGCCAGTGCTCGTGGATGATACGGACGTGCTACTTGTTGTCACCGAGCTGGAGATCGTTGAAGAGACCGTCGTTGCAGTCACGCTGCTGGCCGAAGTGGTCGATGTACCACTCGAGATCGTCGCGGAGCTAATGCTCGTGGCTGAGACGGACGTGCTACTTGCTGTCACCGAGCTGGAGATCGTTGAAGAGACAGTCGTTGCAGTCAAGCTGCTGGCCGAAGTGGTCGATGTACCACTCGAGCTCGTCGCGGTGCTCGTACTAGTGGCTGATACGGACGTGCTAGTTCTTGTCACGGAGCTGACTGACGTTGAAGAGACAGTCGTTGCAGTCAAGCTGCTGGCCGAAGTGGTCGATGTACCACTCGAGCTCGTCGCGGTGCTCGTGCTAGTGGCTGATACGGACGTGCTAGTTCTTGTCACGGAGCTGACTGACGTTGAAGAGACAGTCGTTGCAGTCAAGCTGCTGGCCGAAGTGGTCGATGTACCACTCGAGCTCGTCGCGGTGCTTCTGGTCGTGGCTGATACGGACGTGCTAGTTATTGTCCCAGAGCTGGATACAGTTGAAGAGAAAGTCGTTGCAGTCAAGCTGGTGGCCGAAGTGGTCGATGTACCACTCGAGGTCGTCGCTGTGCTAGTGCTCGTGGCCGATACGGACGTGGTCGTTGTCAGCGTGCTGGTTGTCGCTGACATACTACTTGTGGCAGAGGCCGATGTACCGCTGCTGCTGGTCCGGGTACCGGTGCTTGTACCTGACGTTGACGTCGCAGTCGTCGTCACGGTACTGGTGGCTGTGGTGGAGACTGTGGTGACAGTCAAACTGCTTGCCGAAGTGGTCGATGTACCACTCGAGCTCGTCGCGGTGCCAGTGCTCGTGGATGATACGGACGTGCTACTTGTTGTCACCGAGCTGGAGATCGTTAAAGAAACAGTCGTTGCAGTCACGCTGCTGGCCGAAGTGGTCGATGTACCACTCGAGCTCGTCGCCGTGCTCGTGCTAGTGGCTGATACGGACGTGCTAGTTCTTGTCACGGAGCTGACTGACGTTGAAGAGACAGTCGTTGCAGTCAAGCTGCTGGCCGAAGTGGTCGATGTACCACTCGAGCTCGTCGCGGTGCTCGTGCTAGTGGCTGATACGGACGTGCTAGTTCTTGTCACGGAGCTGACTGACGTTGAAGAGACAGTCGTTGCAGTCAAGCTGCTGGCCGAAGTGGTCGATGTACCACTCGAGCTCGTCGCGGTGCTCGTGCTAGTGGCTGATACGGACGTGCTAGTTCTTGTCACGGAGCTGACTGACGTTGAAGAGACAGTCGTTGCAGTCAAGCTGCTGGCCGAAGTGGTCGATGTACCACTCGAGGTCGTCGCGGTGCTAGTGCTCGTGGCTGAGACGGACGTGGCAGTCAAGCTGCTGGCCGAAGTGGTCGATGTAATGCTCAAGGTCGTCCTAGTAGTAGAAGTTGCAGTGTCACTGCTAGTAATCGTTCTTGTGGTGTGAGTGATCGTAGTTGTCGTACTGGTGGCCGAACTGGTCGATGTGCTGCTGGACAGTGTCACTGAACTGATCGTTGTGGCCGACGTGGACATGCTGGTGATGGTGGTGGTACTAAGTGTTGTGGATGATATGGATGACGAAGTCTCTGTGGCGGTGCTAGTTGAGGTGGCAGAGCTAGTACTATGCGTAATGCTGGTGGTAGAGCCAGTCGACGTACTGCTAGAGCTCATTGTGATGGTCGTGGCAGTGGTGCCTGTTGCTGTCGTCGACGAAGTTCGACTCAGGGTGCGCAAGGTAGGAACGGAGGCATTGTAGGCACCCCTGGAAACATCGAGATCCTGGGAAACCCTGATCTCCCAAACTGTCTACCCTGCGGCTGGAAGATCTGCATGAAAAGGAAAGCCAGCATGGATCCCGAACAGAAAGTTGTTCGAATTGACATAAAATTCCGACCACCACGGCAGGCGGGACCTGGGACCCCAGGGGCAGCCAGCAAAAAATCGCAACAACCGAAGCCAGCGAGGCCAGGGGCCTCGTGAGCGGCCGACAAAACATCGCAACAACAACAACAAAAAGCTGCGCGAGGCTCGGAACCACCCCACGGAACGCCAATAGGAATCGCCACAACCGAGGCCAGCAGGAGCCCGGGGAACCATGGGCGGCCACCGTGACATCGCAGCAGGCAAGGCCAGCAAGCCCCAGGACCCCAGGGAATCCCAACATCCAGAGACAGCGGAACCTGGGAACCCATGAGCCACCGAAAGAAAATTACACCAGAGAAAAACCCCAATCAATGGATGGTTTTCGCTGAAGAGATCGACCAGGAACCCGGGAGCCCAGGAACCCAGAACCCACCGAATTCGGCCCGGAACCAATAACCAGGAACCCGTTAACCCTGAACCGGGAAACCGGGAACCCAGCCTGCTATCAAAATCGGCAGGAAACTTTCGCCAAATCTTTCAATTTCTTTTCGGACCCCTTCAGTGCAAGCACTGATTGGGGAACCAGAACTGGAGACCAGCGGGGCCCCGCACCCCTTCTGCAGCCACCAGGACATCGCAGCAGTCAAAGCCAGCGGTAGCTCGGACGCCCACGGGCGGCCCCAGAGCGTCGCAGCAACCAGAGCCAGCGAAGCCATCAGAGGATCACAGCAGCCTGGAGCAGCGGGACCCCATGGGCCGAGCAAAGAAAATCGCAGAGCCAACAGGGCCCAGGACCTCACGGGCCGCCACCGAAGAATCGCAACAGGCAGGGCTAAAGGAATCCGGGGCTGCAGGGACGGCCACAAGAGAAGATCAGCCATGGCCAGAAGAACCCAGGACCCCACGGGCGGCCGCCAGGAAATCGCAACAACCTGGGCCACAGTGACCTGGGACCTCATGGGCGGACCAGAAATTCACAACTTACAGAAGCAGGTTAACCAGCGTAGACCCCAAACGGTAAGTTTCTGCAGTGTGGATATGTAAGCTATGTGGTGAAAGCTTTGTGGTGTAAGCTGTGTAGTACAATTAGCTGATATTCACAGATGTGTTGTCAACTCCACTGCTCGCGCAATCATCGCACCCTCCAACCCACATCTTGTCTTGCAAAATCCATGCGGCCGCGATTGCGGCCGCGATCGCGGTGACTACAGCACTCGCTGGCGCATGTCCGCGGTTGCGCTAATGCGCGCAAGCTCGCGCGCACAGCGGCCAGCTGGTTTGGCACAGCCGATGCGGCCACGATGGCGCTCAACGAAGGGAACGTCCCAGCCTGTCTCGAAAGCCGCGGTGGCGCGTGGGCATTTCAGCGCGGGTCGGTCAATTGGGCGGACGCGGTATCGTGATGAAGTCGACAACGGCGACAAAAGATGATGATAGTAGCGATGGTGGTGGCGATGATGACGATGACAAGAGCAAAGCCAGAAACGGCACCGGTTCCTGTGACAACGATGACGATGATGATGTCCATGTGTCGGTGATGCAAGATTGGCTGATGGTGGCGGCAATGGCGACGGTTAGCGATGACGATGACGGCGGTGATGCGTCGGCACTGGTGAAGGCGATGGTGAGGAAGTGCGCGCGCCCGGAAATACAAGAAACCTGGCAGGCTATGTGCTGAAAGACCTGTGATCTTGATATGTTGATAGCTCTATCTTGAAATGTTTGGACAATCAATGGTTTCGAAAGATTTCAAAACACGCGCGTGGCCGCGCGTCTGAAACCCGCATGGCATATTTGATACGGATGCACGCATTGGGCGCGTGATGGCACAACGCACATGAACCGCGTGATGGGATGAGAATGCGGGTTCTGGACGATATTGTTCAATTCCAATGGGTTCATGGGGTTTCAATATTTGCGCGCGGACAGAATGTCTGCAATGTCTGCACCGAACTATCCCCACGAAGGACGCAACCATACACAGTTGTGTGTGGCGCAGTTGTGGGACTCGTCTCCCCTGGCGTTCCATGTGGGGCCACGAAACATGTGAGGGGCGTGTCGAAATGCGCGGAGGGCCGCATGTGGACCCCCCCACTGGGGCCTTCGGTGGAGCTCCCACGAAACGCGTGAGAGGTGTGACGAAATTAGCTCGGCGGTGGCACGCAGGCCCTCCAACTCGATCAGCCGGTGGAGCTCCCTCTGGGGCCACGACACGTGCGAGGGGCGTGCCGAAACAGGTGCGGCGGTGGCACGCGGGCCCTCCCACTAGGGCCTTCGGCGCAGCTCCCTACTGAACAACGACACGTCTGAGGGGTTTGCTGACATGGGTGCGGCGGTGGCACGCGTGCCCTACCAATGGGGCCTTCGGCGGGGCCCCCTTTGGGGCCACGAAAGGTGTGAGGGGTGCGCGGGCATGGGTGCCGCGGTGGCTTGCGGGCCATCCCACTGGCGCCTTCCGCGGAGCTGCCCAGGGGGGCCACTTGCGCGAGAAGGGCGTGCCGAAATTGCTAAGGCGGCGCCACTGGACGCTGCGAGCGTCGGAATGCCCACCCCCCATCACCGCGGACCCCCCCCTCGGCCAGGGCGCCCCCCCTGCGCCCGACCCCGCGGGGAGGGCCGCCGGCCCCAGGCAGGGGGCGACTTAGGCCGAGGGAGGAAGCACACCTCACCTCGCTGATTTACTCACGATTCCCATGGCACCAACGCCTCTGTCCGCACCGCAACTCACACGGTCAAGAGCGCAGCGCGGCCGCGGTCTCGAAGCTCTACCCATCCTCCATAGGGTCCACCGTGAGCGAGGCACCCCTTCCGCCCTGGACCCCAACCCCCACCCGCAACAGAAAGATGGGGGTCCACAGGCAGAGAGGGGGCCCCCGCCGTGGCGGCGCCCACTGGAAGGCGGGGCGTCAAGACTATCCCAAGGGCACGTCATCACCCCGCGGTCGCGCCCCTGCCCCGACGGGCCGCGCGGGACCCCGACGACGCTGACGCTCTTCACCCTGCGGCTCCGCCTGCACGCCGCCGCGACAAGGCCCCTGCCCCGCAGCGTCGCGCGGGGCCCCGACGCCGCTGACGCTCGTCGCAATCCAGACCCTCCTGCACGACGATTTCTGGGACGCACCCGAGCCGAGCTGTCACCGCGGCCCCAGTCGCACTCGTCGCCCGCGGTGCCCGCGGCCGCCCCCCAAGACGTGCGCCCCCCCCGCGGCGGCCGCCCGCTCCTCGACGAGCGCGTTGGAAGGCTCCCGGCAGGCCTGCACCATCCCGTCGAGCACGCGCCACTTCAAGTCTGCGACTGCCACGTAGATCCTGGGAAGTTCGTAAGAGTCCGCCGCATTCGTCTTCCTCCTGATTCTCCTCGCGCGGGAGCCAATCCAAGCCCAACGCCACCCTGCGCGACCACAGCTCCCCCGAGAGCTCGACTCGAGCAGCTCGACGAGGAGGACCCGAAGCGGCCACTTGGTCGACGCGGCTCGGAACACCGCGCGGGCGTTTCCCAAGCTGATCAGTCGAACTCACCACCCCGAGGCTCGCCCTCTGGCGGGGCCCCCCAGGCCTCGACAACAGCTCCACGCGGGGGATCGCCACGAGAGCTCCCGCGCCGCGGCGACCCAATTCGGGTCGTTTGCGTGGGCCCACGCCCGTTGGAACCAGACCTTCGCCATCCCCAGCGCGCACCCGCGGGCCCCTCGCGCGCTGCCCCCTGGCGGCGCTTCCCAGCGGCCTATCCAGCGGCGCCCCGCCTCTGCCTTCGCGCCCGAGCGGAAATGCCCGGCGCCCTCGGCCTCGAACTGGATGGGCGCCCCCAATCTCCGCCCTCCTGCCAGCCGCTTGTAGACCCACGTCAGCACGATCCTGATCGCCCAGGTCAAGGAGACCCTCTTCGCGCCTGCACTTACGACACGGGCGGTCCAGGGGCGGGCGGGCCCCAGGATCGGCTTCTACCAGACGAAGACAATCGCCGCGAAGCCCGGGGGGCCCACGCCCAACGCCAACTCGCCCACGTGGACGGCGCCCCGACTGACCGTCTCTAGGCACCAGTCTGCCACCAATTTCGCCCTCGCCGCCGAGAGGCCCACGGCGTGGGCGACGCAGTCGCAGCTGAGGCCAATCCAACGCACACCGAGGCCGCCCCGCGCCGCGGCCCCCTGCACTGGGAAGCCGAGAACGTCGAAGCGGATGACCACGAAGAGGGGGCCAATCTCCCATGGCGCCCTAAGCCGATCACCACCAGGTCGTCGGCCTAGACGAGCTGCCCCACGGGCTGGCCGCTGTCCTGCAAGCTGAGATCGCCCGCAGCACGGCGCCGAACAACCTCGCCCACCGCTCCAAGGCGCTGAAGATGCCGAAGGCGCCGACGGCGTTGCAGCAGATCTCGCCGTCGAACTCGCAGGCCAACATGCCCCGGACGTCCTCGCGGATCTCGACGAGCCGAGGCGCGCCCTTGACGTCGGTGACGAGCGAGAAGATGACTTCGGCGGCGAGCAGAAAGTCCCCCGCGGGCCTCGGCACCCCCTGCCGGCCACCGCATCTGACCCCGTCGTTCACGGCGATTTCGCGCGCACCGTCGCGCGCGAGTCGCTGCTGGCCGTTCGCGCTCTTCAGAATCGCCAGCGCTGCCATGGCGGGTTCGCCGCCGCTGCGGCTGCGCAGCTGCTCCGCGGACATCTCGACCGCCCTGCCCGACTTCACCTCGTCCGCGAGGTGTTCCCAGAGCCAGTCGCCGCGGTCCTCGACGCTGCTGCAGCTGGTAGATTCTGGGGCGGCCCAGTTGGCAGCCCCCCGGTCGAGGCGCCACTTCGCGCGCTTTTGCGCAGAATCGCTTCCCGCAGGGGCCCCTCGCGCAGGATGCCCGCG